GCTTCGAGAGGGCCTCGGGGCACAGCCTCAGTGACGTGCAGGCGCCTCCACCATCCTCTGAGGCGTCAGAGCAGGTAACCCTCGCATCGACCTCCGCGCGAAGGTCCGTGAAGGCAAGCGGGAGGAGGCCCACGCCGCTGAGGATCTCCTCGGTCATCTCCGAGTTGACCCAGCCAGAGTGAGTGCCATCCGCGAACTTCCAGACCTCGTTGAGGATGCAAAAGAGGACGCGCCTGAACTCCAAAGCCCTGACGAGCTTGCCCAGGAGCACGAGCATGGTCTTCCAGTAGACCCAGTCCTTGGTCACCAGCAGGGCCCCCAAGAGCATGGTCTCGAAGAGCTTCATGAGAGGTGCCGAGACGCGCCCGCGCAGACCATCCACGAGCACGCCCATCCTCTCGACCTTCGTCTCCCCGAGGTGGGCCTTGTGTTCGGCCCAGGCCACGCCGTTGCGCTGGTAGGAAGCCCTCTGTTGCTTCTGGTAAACAGAGCCGACGCCGACCTCCCCCTCGGTGTCGTTCACGATCCTGGGGGCATCAAAGTCGTCGATGAAGAACTGGTACCAAGACCTGCAACCGCCCACCTGAGCAATGGGGAGCGGCTTGTCCCTCCTCCACTCATCAACTTCAGGCAGGCCCGCTCCAGCGGGGGGAGGGCGCAGGCCCAGACGTCTATGAAGGTGTTGGAATAACGTGACGGCCAGCAGCCAGCCCATCGGTATAACGGCTGAGCACACATGCACCGTCTTCAGATCTGGGCGGCCCACGAGGCGGCCGGGGACGCGGCCCTTCAACGTTGTGAAGCTGCGCCAGGCCCGCGGGATCTTCCAGACAAAGAAGGCGCCCTGCTGGTCGTCTCCCGACCAGAGCAAGACGCGCTGGCCCTCCAACACAACCGTAACCCAAGAGGTCGAGGCCGTCAGCGTCGACAGGTCCTGGGTCATGATCTTCAGGTAACTATTCGCTGGCACCATGTTCATGATGAAGCGGCACTGCCTCTGCTCACCAGCCTCGGGCACGCCCCTTTTCTCAACTGCGAAGGCGCCGTTGAGCACGGGGACGCCGTCAGCCCGAAAGATCTGCTCGTCCTCTATGGCCTCCACGATCCCGAGCGAGTACAAGTGGCCAACGATCCTCGCCCACTCCGCAGGCGAGTCGACCAGCAGCCTCGCCTTCGGAACCTCAGAAGGCCACTGGGCACGTGGCAGGAGGGCCACCGACGGGTCGTCCAACCAGGTGAGCACCTCAGGGCTGACGTGAGCACGAGGGTCCAGACGGCCAGCGACATCAGCTGCTGGTAGGCCAGGTCGTAGTTCTCCCAGCCTAAGGGGCAGCGCACGCGTGCCACTGTCGATGTCGTAAGCACTGGACGCCCGCGTCGAGATCTCACTAAGGAGGGGCAGCTGAACCCTGCCAAGGTCGCCCCCGAGGAAATACGAGACAGCCTCCCTCATGACCTCGACGGCGTTGGCCTGAGCGGCGGAGTAGTGCGAGTGGTGGCCCCACGCCTCCTCCCCGCACGTGCCCGCATACTGGTAGTTCGTGAGCATAACCTGGATGAAGACCCACAGTTCGGCAGCGACAGCGCAAGCAGAAGGCCCATCAAAATCGGGTCCAGGTTCACCCGAGGTCCCCGCCGCTGACCCCCTCGACGTACCCTTCCAGGCCCTGGCACTGTCCAATGATGGAGCAGCAAGAGGCAGCACATCACGAAACCTCTGCCCCTGCTGCTGCGGTGAATGCGCGTGGTGAAGAAAACCCCGACAGAACCTGCCCAGCCTGCCAGGGTGTGTGAACATAGCATCTATCAGCCAGAGCGCGAAGGTGAGCGGGGTCATGCCATCCTCGAGGGCCGCAGCAAGCCTGGACTTCCAGGCCCTCAGGTCGGACATGCTAGTGAGCGTCCAAGGCCAGCTCGCTCCGCCGCTGGCACACGACGAATTAGCCTCGGTGGCGTGCGTCACCGCCGAGGTGCCGCCCATGGAGCGGCAGTCTTCTGCTTGGCGGCCTGGTTCTGCGAGCCCTCGCCCTCCAGGATGACCTTGCGAGCACCGCCCTGCACTGGCGGCGCCTGCCTCTTGGGGCCGTCGCCCCGCATGAGCAGCGCCAGGCGCTGCCGGTACTTGCCCTGCGTCTCGCCGTCCTTCTTGGGGTTCTGCAGCTTCAATTCCTTGAAAGTCCTGGAGGGCCTGTCCGTCGTCGGGGGGCGTGGAGGCTGGCGACTCGCGCCCGCCACCTCTGCAGTGCGAGCCGCCTCCTGAAAACCCCGACCTCCAGCTGGCCCACCAGTCGTCCCGTCGCTGGGGTGGCCTGCAGGGGTCGCTCCCATGCTGGGTGGAGCGGACCCCCGGCCGAGTCCCTAGCCGACAGGCTTGAGCTTCCCCGCGAGCTCGGCGAGCTTCAATTCGCCGTACTCGATCTTCCTCAGAAGCTCCTCCTCCTCGATATTGATGGCAGCCATGTCGGCATCGGGAGGGATGAGCTCCAGCCAGCGCGCGCTCCTCCAATGCTTATCCTTGCAGGCGAGCTGGCAGGCCTTGAACCTCTGCATGAGCATGTCCATGGCCTCTGGGAGCTTCCCTTGGATCAAGAGGTCCAGGGACTCGGACAGAGTGCGCATCTGCCTGAACATGTCCTCGCCGATTGCTGAGACAGGGTGCGAGGCCAAGAAGATGTTCAGCAGGAACTTGTTAACTATCGGAGGGAGCTCTTCCTCGGCGTCGTGCATGCCCTTTGTGCTGAGAAACTGATTGAGGTGCGACAAATGGGCCGTGAGCAGCTTCCCAGGAGTGTCGCGAGCAGTCCTCCTGAAGAACGCTCGTGAGGCAGCCAACGACTTCCCAGGCGTGAACTCCAAGCCGTCAGTGATGCCGAAACCCTCGATGCCCTCGGCAGGGGTGAGCGCGCCCAGCAGCGAGCGAAGGAGGTGAGCGGCAGACCCGCCGCCCTCACGCTCGGACCCAGCGCCCGCCAGGCCTCCGCTGCCAGCTGCGCCCCCGTCCGCGGGCCCACGCCTGGGAGCCTTCGCCGCCCTCTCAGCCAGGATCTCATCCAGGGACTTCCTCTTGAGCGGGGCCCCCTCAGCAGCGGCACCTCGAGGCTCGGCGGCAGCGTCGCCCACGGCGCCCAGACGACCCTTCAAGTCGCCCAACCTCTTGCGGAGGAGCGCCTGCATCTCCTCGTCAGGGCGGCGCCCTGCAGGCTCCTTCGCAGCGGCGGCGGCGGCGGCCTCGAGCGGGGTCTCCCCGCCGGCGGTGCCGCGGGGGCGAACGCTCCCGCCAGGCAGCCCCGCGGGCTCCGACGCGGCCGCGGCAGGTGGCCGAGCCCGAGCGGGAGGCCGACCGCGCGCCTTGAAGGCGGCACGCCCAGGAGGGCCTGCGGCGGCGCCAGGCCCCTCCGCCTCGCGAACGGCCCCGAGCTCACCCGCGGAGTCGACGACCTTGGCGGCGAGCCCGAACTCGTCCAGCTCGGCGGCCACCAGCTCCTCGTCCACGGGATCCCCCAGCTCCTCCTCCAGCGGCTCGGGCCCCAGCTCGGCAGGCCAGCGCGCAGCAGGATTGCGCCGCCGGAACTGGAGGTACGCGTCCTCTACCGACTCAAGGACCACGAACTCGTCGACGTGCGCTACCTCCACGCCAGGGCCCGCCTCCGCAGCGCATAGGATGGCCGTCTCATCCTCTGGACAAAAATGGAGAACACGCTTTAACTTCCTGGCTCCAGGGGATCCCGCATTCTCCTCGTACCACTGCAAATACTGATCAGTGCAGAACAGGAACTCAGCGCGTGCGAACTGTCCGTGCTCGCTCGCCTCGTACAGGCTGGTGATCCGAAACACGGCCTCGCCCTGTACGGCGTCGGCGTCGTCGTAGCATGTGACCTGGATAAAGTCACCTGCACGCACGGCACGGCCCTCGCCCACGGCCGCCGCCGTAGCGCCCTCGCCGTCCGCCATGCGGCCTGCCGAGGCGAGCTCCTCTCAGCTCGCTCGCGCGCCGACGGGCACCCTCGGTGCACAGAAAGACATCAGAGCAAGAAAGCTGCGAGGCAAGATCGGCGATTACTGCGGGACCCCCGAGATACCCCAATGACCTGTAGTCATAAGTCTGATATATATGGATGTCTACATACATACATATAGTTACATATGTACATATACATATACGTATGTGCAGGTATACAATTGCGTTTACACATGCGAGCTGTACGATATCATCCATGTATACGTAGATATAAACAAATACATATACATATATGTATAAGTGCGCGGATGCGCGTATGCACAACTACCTGCCTACATGTATATATATATATATATATATGTATATATACATACACAGCTACACTGAACTATTTTGCATAAAGTGTATGCATGCGGCTCTACGGCAACACAAGCTGAATAATTTGGACATGCAACCAGAGCCAGCAATGATGAAGAGAAAAGAGAGACACCTACACAGAGAGAGGGACACTGCCGACATGCAGAACTGTATATATACATGAATATATATACATATATATATACATACATATACATATACATATAAACATATATACAAATATACATATATGTATATAAACATAAGACTATGTATGTGTATATATACAACTGCATGTGCAAATAAACAGAGATGGGAGAGACAGGAAGAAGAGAGAGAGAGAGAGAGAAACAAAAAAAAAAAGGAGAGAGAGAGAGAAGGGGGAAATACTATAGATACTAGAAAGCCAGTGGGGAGTAGGGCGTGGACCATTTGCGAAAATACCCGAAAGTCTACTGGTTGGGGTTTCACTGGTGTCATTCTCCTCTTTCCGTCAAAACAAAAAAACTCGCATGCTCCGCCCGCAGCCAACAGAGTTCCGTCGAAACTGCCCCCTAGAATTCTCGACGTCACCTCTTTCCCGCGACCCACAGGATGACACCAAAGCTGGCCCCAACGAGAAGATCGTCTCGAGGGTCTTGATCCTGCTCATCTCTTCCCCCCTCCCCCCACCCAGAGCGCTGGCCTTTCACATCACGATGGACGATCCTGTTCTCGTGCAAAAAATGCAGCCCCTCCAGGATCTGCCTTGCCCGTCGCCAGGGGGGAGGGGGGGGGGGCAAAACAGGCGGGCAGTCAGCTGCGGGCATACTGTGACCTTTGCGCAGGCTTCCATTGGGCGGCGCAAGACATAGCACTCATGGAAGGTCGCCGACCACTTGGAGTTCCTCGGCGTGTGAGAAGAGGTGCTCCTCCCAAAACCCCTATCCCGAGAGCCCTGTCCGGCCAGTTTGAAAAGGGTTCCCGCCAGAGGGACTGCCGCACTAATCCAGTTTTGCAAAGCTCCCAGGCGGCAGTTCTTTAGACGAGCCAACATGGGCGCAGGACCGCTCCAAATAGTCTCCAAATGGACCACGTTCGCGCACAGACGGCCTCAAATGGCCTCAAGACAGCCCAAGAAGCCCCCAAAACGCCCCAAAAGGACTCCAAGATAGAGCCAAGAAGCAAAATCAGTCAAAATCCCTCGGGGAATCATCATTGGGGCACCATCATCATCATGAGCAACATCATCATCAACACCGTCATTATCATTATCATCATCGGGACACCATCAGCATCACCATCATCATCACCACCATCATCATAATCAGCATCATCATCGGGACACCATAATCATCATCAACATCAACATCATCCACATCATTATCGCCGGGACACCATTTCCATCAACATCATCATCACCAACATCATCGGAATCATCATCATCATCATCATCATCATCATCATCATCATCATCATCATCATCATCATCATCATCGGGACACCATCAGGTCATCATCATCAGCAAATCATCATGAGTATCATCATCCTCATCATCGGGACACTATCATCATCATCGACACCATCATCACATCATCATCATCTTCATCGGGACACCATCATCATCATCTCATCATCATCATTATCATCATCATCATCATCATCATCATCATCATCATCATCATCATCATCATCATCATCTCATCATCATCATCGTCCTCGCGGGACACCGGCGGGACACCGCGGGACACCGCGGGACACCGCGGGACACCGCGGGACACCGGCGGGACACCCGCGGGACACCGGCCGCCCGGAAGAGAGTCATTTGGTCCGGCCGCGCCTCAGCCACACAGGACTTTAGCGGGAAACCGGCGGGACACCGCGGGCCACCGGCCGCCCGGAAGGGAGTCATTTGGTCCGGCCGCGCCTCAGCCACAGAAGACGTTCCCTCGCCCGCCCACGCAGCGTCGCCTCGCCCACACGGCACGCACGAACACGAAACCGAAATCGATTTCCCGGTAGGGGGGCTCTCCGTTCCACTTCGATCTCACCCCCCAACCTCCGATCCACCTACACATATACGTATATGTATATACCTGTACATATACATGTGCATATGCAGATAGCAATGCGAATGCAACTACAAATGCAAAGACCAATGCAGTAAGATGTATACATATATAAGTACATATATATACACGTATATACATAGGTCTGTATATGTACACATGCAAATACATATACAAATACATACACACGTACACATACACACATACACATATATATACACATAAACACACTCATACATATTCATGTACAAATGCACGTGTAAAAATATACATACGTATGCAGATGCACACACATCCACTCATCATCCCATCTACCCAACCATCCACCCAGCCAGCCACCCGCCCACCAATCCATCCATCCGTCCATCGACTCTCTCCCTCTCTCTCTCCCACACGCAGACGCACGCGCACGCAAACGCAAACGCGCAAACACACACACACACATGCATACACACATGCACAAATGCATGCACGCATGCATACATACATTACATTACCCGACATCGCATTACAACGCAGCACATTACACTACAACGCATTGCATGACATTACCGTAGCGTACATAACATTACATGGCATTACAACGCACTACGCTAAATTATTAAATTGCACCGCGGTGCACTACATTACACTACATTACATTACATTACACTACATTACATACATACACGCAGACATACACACATACAGACACACATACGCGCATGTATGTATACACATGTGCATACATACGTATACGCAGCCATGCATACATGTGCGCATGCATTCATACCTGCACACACGCACGCATGCAGACATGTATGCATACATGCATGCATGCGCACATATGTACACACACCTAAATACATACATACATACATGTACACATACATGCATGCATGTATGTATGCACGCACGCACGCACCGCATACACGAATGCGCACACATGCGCACATGCATACGCGCACACGTGATTATGTACATGGACACATACGTGCATACGTACACACGTGAATACGCAAATACGTACATACGCGCATGAATACATACATACACACGCATAAACACATACACACATACGTACACATGCACTGACATACATATACCTACGTACACATACGCATGCATACATTCATACGAATGTTACAGCGTACGTACCTGCATACGCACATGCATACAACATGTCACCCATCCAACCGCCCGTCCGCCCGTACATGCACGCACATATACGTGCCCACCTATAGACCCACCGACGTACATATCTAATACATGGTGCGTAAATTTGTGCGAATATACATAGATACAAGTATGAATATATGTATATATATATGTACATATATATCGTTCTGGTCGCGCATTCGCCATTGGTTAAGATCTCGCAGCTGTGCCAGACAGCTGCGTCGAGGCGTTCACGCTGCGGGGCCCCCCGTTTCACGCGCCCGCCTCGCGCCCCCGAAGGACAGAACGCCGAGGGGGCGGTGCGAGCGGGGGGCCCGCCACCGAGGGAAAAGACCCCCCTGGGTGGCCGCCGCGGCCTCTCTGAAAAAAACTTGCCCGGGTGGATGCGGGATGGCGGAGCAAGAAAGCTGCGAGAGCAACATCGGCGAGACAGCGGGGCCCCCGAGATACCCCAATGGCATGCTGTCATAAGTATGATCTCGTTCTGGTCGCGCATTCGCCACTGGTTAAGATCTCGCAGCTGTGCCAGACAGCTGTGTTGAGGCGTTCACGCTGCGGGGCCCCCCGTTTCACGTGCCCGCCTCGCGCCCCCGAAGGACAGAACGCCGAGGGGGCGGCACGAACGGGGGGCCCGCCACCGAGGGAAAAGACTCCCCTGGGTGGCCGCCGCGGCCTCTCCATTCACACCTTCTCACTGGCTATAGCCGGAATTCAGTAACATGAGGCCAAGCTGCTCTAATATCATATCTCTCGAAAGTTGGCTCATTGAGACATCAACAAGGTCGGCGACAGCCCCCTCGATATATACTCGTGCAGAGGTTACGGCGCCCCACCTTCCTCGCTGCATTGTTCGCTCGAGGTTGGCGCCTAAGAGGAAGTCATGACAGGAAACTCCTTTCCTGAAACTGCACCAGGACCAGCGCGCAGGAGGGATCGAAGCAACGGCGAGGAGCGATTTCAGAATCTTCTGAAGCTGCATGCAAGAATATGGGCAAACATGATCCGACGGCTGCGCGCTAGACGTCGCAGCTCGCAGCAGGCGCACAGCAACCGGCGCCCTGACCACTACGAATTGCACCATGCCAGACCTGACGCCCACCTTTGTCTCTGAGAGCCGCAAAATGACTCCACCTTCGGCGAACGTGATGTCCTCATAGGTGAGGTCTCGCAATTCTTTGGTTCGATGCATTGCGTCAAACGTGACAAGGACCAAAGCTGCCAACAAAGACTGGCCAGTGGCCAGCGCAGCGCCCGCAAGCCCCAGCGCCATCTCGGGGCTCGCAGGGCAGGCGCGGTTGATGGGCGCTAGCTTCTGCCACGTCTTGACCAGCGACCACGCAAACGGCAGGGCGGCGCGCAGCTCGGGGGCGAAGAAGAGGCAGCCTGCGAGCGCGTAGCGGCCCTGGCTGAGTGCGCCTTCGTTCGCCCACTGGTCCTCCACGTAGGCGCCCAAAGCGCGGTCAGCCTCGGCAGAGCTAGTCAGCGGGAAGCCGCCCTCGATGGCGAAGGCGAGGAGCTCTGCGACGGCGATGCGGTACCTCCTGAGCGTAACCGCACTGACCCTGAGATCTGAGAGCCTCTGGGAGCCTCGCAGGCGCTGGAGTCTCTGGGCTTGCGGCGAGAGCCTCTTAGCTGCCAGACACCTTTCGGGATGGCGCGTCAGCGGGGTTGTCTTCCGACGCGATATAGCCAAGCATGACGCAGCAGCCTGTCGCCCAGCATAAAGCTCCCCAGCGCTTGACGTGCATCCGCAAGACTCTGCTGCTGCTGCGGCCCTTCGTGAGCACCGAGGCGGCGACCTGGCTGTCGATGAGGTGCAGCATACGCCTGGGGCGGCCCTGCCCCGACCGCAGGCGCCACTTGATAGTGTTCACCCCCGCCTGGATCTCTAGAGCGTCGATGTGCTTCCCGATTCCAGCGCGCCACCTGTAGCTCGATATCACCTTCCACGTCCAGACGTTGGGCCCCAGCGAAACGCGAGGCCACGCTCGGTGCCTGAATGGGGGGGGAACATCCAGGCGCACGTCCGTGCCTCCCCGCTCAGCGATCGACTGGTCGCGCCTCACGAGCTGCTCCGCCTCGGGCTGGTACTGGTAGTTGTCGCTATGATGGTGCACCGCGTTGTCGTTCCAAGGCGTTCTGCACCTTCCGATGTGGCATGGGGCTTGGGTCTCCCACAACCGCGGCTGGTACTCGTCAGCGACCAGGGCATGCTGCAGCAGCCATGTCACGGCATAGACTGAGAAGCTGTTGCCAAGCAGGAAACAACGCGCGGTCTCAGAGTTCGAGCCAGACCCGTCTTTCACGGCACACTCAGTGTAGCCCCGAACAAACCCCAAGAGTACCCCTCTCTCCTCAGCTGTCGGGGGACGGAGCTCCATGGTGGCCTCATGCTGGAGAAGGCAGGCGTGCTCGTAGAGGCCGACGTGATAACGATGATCGCCCTTTTTCCAGCGCGCCTTCGCCTCAGGACTGGCCCGAGCAATCCCAGCAGGACGAGTGGGCTGCAGCAGAGAGGGCCTAGCGCAAGCGAGGGTCGGC